CCCCCACCCCCACCCCCTGGCCAGCGCCTTTTGATCGATACTAAATAGCAGTCGCAGGGCCACGGGGCTGCTTCCCGTTTGCTCCGCAGCCCGAGCCGATATCCTGCCTGTGGAGGGCACGCAAGTGGAAATGGTTTTGTTTCCCCGTCATAAAGATTGATATGCCTTCCCGTTTATGATTCTTTTTTCAGATCTAACACCTGCAGCTCTCCCTCAGAATTCTCAAGTTGGTTAAATTAAAGCTTCAGCCCTGAGAATGGGCCAAATATGTCATAAAAGATTTCCTAGTGCTGCTTTTGTTAGCAAAATTCATCAATCTGATAAAATCGACACATTTAGATAAGTGTTGCATAAGAATTCAGACTTTGTTATTCCCAGCAGAAGTGGATATGAGACTGTAAAAAGGAAGATAAAAAATTATATCTTCTTTTTAGTGAGTTATTTGATCTCCCTGCCGTTTTATTTACTTGTCAGAAAGGGGAGACCAGGTCCTTTGGACTCCCGCATAAAAGCCCAGCACAATGTCAGTGTCATTTGCTATAAACGAGACCTTCTGGGAAGGGCTTAGGATACTATTAAGGGTAAATTAATATCAACTATTTCGATTAGTTAAATTTAAGGAAAATTCTCACGTGTTTAAATTACTATTCCTATTTTAATTGATTGGTTGAAGGTCAAATCACAGCGTTTCTCACACATCCAGAGGATACTGGCCACTGAAGGGCCTTTGACACCTCTGCTCTCCTCATTCAGCATGCCCAGGGCTGGAAAAGCTCCAGTAAGGAAAGCTTAGTGGGCCGATGGGCCCGGGCCAGCCAAGGCAGTCACCTCTTAGGAGAACTTAGCTGTTACCTCCGTGCAGCCGAGAACTTCCTTAAGTCATTTTAAAAGTGGCGATTTCCTTTTCTTATGGTCCCTTGTTTGGTAAATCCTTTGTAAATGCTGGTCCAAATGTGAAGAAACTTTCTATCTAGAAAGGAGAAATTTAGACTGCTGAGCTATGTACATATCAAAACCTAAGAAGTGTTAAAAAAAAACAAAACTTTTTTTTTTTCCTATCCAAAGAGTCATCGAAAGAACCTTTGGAAAATAGAGAAAAGGAGTTAAAAGAAAGTGGAGACCACCCAAAGGTTTCTCAGAAGAGCGGCTGCTGACATTTTGGTTTACGCCATTCCTGTCTTTTCACCGTGCATAGTATCACCCCCACCCTTTCTTCCACATTCAAAAAATCGTAGTAAAATATACGTAACATAATGTTTATTATTTTATCCATCTGTAAAGTTACAATTAAGTGGCATTAAATACCTTCACAAAGCTGTGTACCCATCACCACTGTCTGTAACCTAATCCTTTTTCATGATCCCCAGCATTAACTCTGTGCCCACTGACCAGTCACTCCTCGCCCCCTCCCCCTCCCCCAGGCCCTGGTAACCTCTGTTCTGCTTTCTGTCTCTGAATTTGACTGTTCTGGGGACCTCATATAGATGAAATCATGCAATATTTGGCCTTCTGTGTCTGGTTTGTTTCACTTAGCATAATGCTTTAGGTCCATCCGTGTTGTAGCGTGTGTCAGAACCTCACTCCTTTTTATAGCCAGATAGTATTCTATTGTGTGTATAGGCCGTATTTTGCTTATCCATTCATCTTTTGATGGACACTTGGGTTGTTTTCTTTTGGCTGCTGTGAGTGATGCTTCTATGAACATTGGTGTACAAATATCTATTCCAGTCCCTGCTTCAGTTCCTTTGGGTGTGTACCTAGGAGTGGGATTCCTGGATCACATGGTGATTCCATGTTTAACTTTTTGAGGAACCTCCATACTGTTTTCCATGGTGGCTGCACCATTTTAAATCCCCATCAGCAGTGCATGAGGGCTCCAGTTTCTCTACATCCTCGCCAACACTTGTTGTTTTCCTTTTTTCTCATAGCCATCCTAGTAGGTATGAGGTGGTGCCTCACTGTGGTCCGGGTTTGCGTTTCCCTAGTGACTGATGTTGAGCAGCTCGTCACGTGCTTATTGGCTACTGTATGTCTTCTTTGGAGAAACGGCTGTGAAGTCCTTTGCCCATTTTTTTAGTCACGTTGTTTTTGTTCTTGAGCTGAAGTGTTCTATTTCTATTCTGGACGTTAATCCCTTGTCACATTTGCAAATGTTTTCTTCCATATTCTGTACGTTGTCTTTTCACTTTCTTGACAGTATTCCTTGATGCACAAAAGTTTTAAATTTTGATAAAATCCAATCTCTTTTTTCTTTCTTTTCTTTTCTTTTTCTTTTCTTTCTTTCTTTTTTTTTTTTTTGCCTGTGCTTTTGGTGTCATAGTCCTGAAATTGTTGCCAAATTCAATGTCATGAAGATTTTCCCCAATTTTTTTCCTAAGAATTCTATTGTGTTAGCTCTTAAGTTTAGGCCTTTGATCCGTTTTTAGTTATTTTTGATGTATGGTATATGCTAAAGGCCCACCTCCATTCACTCGAGGACACCCAGCTTTCCCAGCACCATTTGTTGAAGACTGTCCTTTTCCCTTTTGTCCTTGTCAAAAATCAATTGACCAAATATGTGTGGGTTCCACTGGTCTCTGTCTGTCCTTATGCCAGTACTGCGCTGTTTCACGTACTGTCCCTTTGAGGAAAGTTTCCATTGGGAAGCTGAGTGCTCCAACTTTCTGCTTCTTTTTCAAGATTATTTTGGCCATTTGGGCTCCTTGCAGTTCCCTCCCATTGGAATGTGAGGATCTACTTTTCCATTCCAGCTTAGAAAGTGATGGTTGGAATTTTCATAGGGACTGCATTGAATCTGTAGATGGTTTTAGGTAGAATGGACATCGTAACAGGAGTAAGTCTTCCAGTTCATTGACACGGATGTCTTTCTATTTATTTAGATTTTTTAAAATTTCTTTTGTACAGGTTTTGTAGTTTTTGGTGTACAAGCCTTACATGTCCTTGGTTAAATTTATTCCTAAGTGTTGAATTCTTTTAGATGCTATGATAAGGTCAACTTTGCTGAATCCAGTTCCCCCTCTTTAAACATGTAATTGTAATCATGAAGTATTTACATTTTTGATTTCTGCTTTTATTGCTTAACATTATATCGAGCAGTTCTTCATGTAACCATCACCCTGTTCCTGACCCTTTGAAATGGCTTAAGTTTTCCTTCTTGTAAATAAGTAGTCCTGGGTGAACATCTTTGACCATCATTAAACTTTGTCTGTATTTTTGGTTTTTCCTCCTGAGAGAGCCCCAGGTATGGGGTCACTAGGTCAAAGGGAAGGAGCCCTTCAGAACCTTTTGTGCATCTCTGTGTTCTTTTCCATCTCACACAGGTGCCAGTGGTGAGCTCTAGTATCTAACTTAAAAATATATTTGGGGACTTCCCTCGCGGTCCAGTGATTAGGACTTTGCCTTCCAATGCAGGGGGTGTGGGTTCAATCCCTGGTTGGGGAGCTAAGATCCCACATGCCTCACGGCCAAAAAATCAAAAGATAGAACAGAAGCAGTATTGTAATAAATTCAATAAAGACTTTAAAAAAATATTCTAAAAAATACATATTTGAAACATTTCGGATAGAATGTTGTTTTACTCTTGTTATAATATGCGATTCTTTAATTACTGGTAAGACTGAACATTTTTCCTTAAGTGTATTAAGTAGTTGTGTTTTTGTGTGTTTAATTTGCGCCCATGTGTTTTGTCTATTTGCCTCGTGATTTTAATGTTTTTCTTTTTCATATTCAGGAGTGTTTAATATTAATAAGGATGTTGTTATTAATTAACCCTTTGTCTATCATATTTCCTACAAATAAGTCTTCTGCATTTGTTCTCTGTCTTTCTGTTTTAGGTTTTTTTTTTAAACATGCAGAAGTTTCCAATTTTTATGTACTCAAGGTCTTTGGTTTGCTTTGTGATTTCTTTATCTCTGAAAGCATTTAAAATTACTCTTACATAAGCATTGATCAATGTTAACAGAAATAAAGATAGAAGATAAAAATGTACCCACAGTCTTTCCAATGCAGCGAATTAAAGTGTTTTTTCCCCCGGAACCCTGTCACTCTTTCCTGTACATAGTTTGAGGAAGTTGTTGTTACAACATTGACATTGTTCTGTGTTCTAGGCTTTTTTGTTTATCTTTCCACTAAACGTTATTGTCTGACAGCATCCTTGGTGCATCTTTCTCCCAGACTCCCTCTGTGTTTCCTCCTGCTTTTAAACCCTTTCTTTTCCCTCGTTTACGTTTTAGCCACGGCCGTCTGCTTAATGCCCACCTTCTCCCCGGGACTGGGTGGGATGCCAAATCCATGTGACCTGGCTCCTGCCAGCGGGCTCCTACAAGGTGTGCATTCCGTACCTGCTCTACGGCTGACTCACTTTATCTCTCAGCGTCGGTATTTCTTCCTCTGTAAAGTGGGAGCTGGTAAGTCCAGCCTCACAGTGTTTATTATGAGGGAGCATTTGATATGGGGCCTGGCACATTGTAGGGGCTTAGTAACAACAGCTGTAACGTGTGGAGCACCTATTGTGTGCGTGGCCCTGTACTAGGGCTTTCCTGAGTGCAGTCAGTCAGATGCTCACAGTTACCCCAGGCTTTTGTATCTGGCTTGATTGGTGAGAAAAATAAGGCATAATAAGTATTGGTGTTTTTTTTAGTATCACTATTTTGATTTCTGCTATTCCAAACCTAAAACATAGAGTCTCTTTGTTTACATCTTTTACATGAGTTACACACACACACACACACACACACAGATTCATGTGCACTTTTTTTTTTTTTTTTTTTCAGCCTGCATGCACAGTCAGCAGGTCTGGGCCCGGCTCGCGCCGTGAGGTACCACAGCTGCGCAGGGAGTGGGGTGGGTTGGGCGGGGAGGCACACTTGGAACAGGAGGCTCCCTCGGCTGTGCTCTGGGTCAGCCCCCACCTGGGCTGTGGGGCTGTGCTCAGCGCTCTTCCTGACATCTCTGGCTGGAGCCCCTTGTGTTCCTAGAGCCCAGACAGCAGCCTAGGTCTGGAACCAGGCAGGAGGGGCCTCTTGTCCCCCGGGGGGCTGCCAGCAGCCAGGATGCCCCATTGTGTGGCGTGCTCAGGAAACCAACAAGGCCAGCTTCTCTGGAGCCTGGGAAAGGGCCAGACACCCAGCCCGAAACGCATTTATGTTTTGTTACAATACGTTGCCCAAAAGGGTTTGGGTAAACAATAATTGAATTTCCGAAAGCTTTATGGTTAATCGCTGGAATTCTCAGCGCACGCTTTTCCCCTTCTGTGGCCCTGGGCCTGGGGCTCGGAGCGCAGGCAGAGACGTGCGCGTGGGACGGGCCCTGGCTCAGGGTGGGTCCTGGCTCACTGACTCCGAGGCCTGAGCCCCCACTTCAGTCTAAGGGTGGGCTCTTCCAGGGAAATGCCAGAGAGGAAAAATAATGACATTTCTCTGGGAAAGGGGCTTTGATGGAGCTCAGACACATTCTGCCGCTTTCAGTGGCTGTCAAGCTGCTGTTTCCACTCTGAATACAGACTCCAGTTATTAAGGCTACTGCAGAGTTGGGGAGGGGTGGGTAGGAATAAGGCAAGTAAAAATGCCACAAAGTTCCCTTATTCTTACTGAGATTCAGCTGTTTTCCTTGACTAAACATTCCATAGATTGCTGCAAGCCTTTGGTTAATTTGCAGAGTTCTGAAAAGGTTGTTTCTGATCATTTTCCCCAGTGTTCTTATTGCCTTATGGAGAAGAGCCTTTTCGAATGTCCTCACTCCACATTTTGCTGATTTTTCAGTTTGTTGAGTCTTTGACCTGTACCTCATGAATTTATCCCAAATCAAGGCCAAGAAAAGAAAAAAAAGAAAAAGTCATATCCACCAACATATTTATCACAATAGTGAAAAATTTGGGATGTTCTAAATGAGTCACATTGGGGGGAAAGCATGTGAATTCTGAGTTGCACTGTTATGCAGCTGTTAAAAATGAAAGAGGAGGTGGCCGGGGGGCGGGGAGGCAGGAGTGTAACATGGTGGTTGTGAGCCCTGGTTCTGGAGTCGGATGGGGTGGAGGTTGGCTCTGAGACTGATGGCAGTGACTTGGAGCAAATTAATTCATCTCTCTCAGCCTCACTTTCTCGTCTGTAAAATGGTGCCAATTCCATGGTGGTTTTGTGGGGTTTCAGTGAAAGCGTCCAGGTCGTATTCTTGGCTTAGTTAAGTGAGTCTTCTTATTATCACTGCTGTTGTTATTTTTCAATAGAAAATTCTTTCCGATATAATGGTAAATAAACTAGAAGGATATGAAATTGTATGAATATTGTAACCAAAATATGAAAAAAATAATTCCTTGGCAATGCACGGAGAAACTGAGGTTGGAAGAAAGCACACTGCAGTGATGGGATTATGGGTTGTATATTTTCTCTTTTCTGGTTTTTGTTTTTTTGTTCTCCAGTGGAAAAGGTAAATGTATACTCATAGTAAGAGGCTTTTCTTAAAGCGGCAGGTTCTCCAGGAGGCCTGGAGGCTGTGGACGGGGCCTCTGGGCTGGTCTGGCAGGGACTTCTCAGTACCTGTGCTTCCCGAGTCTCTGCAGGAGGCCGGGCTGTGCCCCATGGTCCTCTCCAAGGGCGTCTTTATTCAGGGGCCTGGGGCCTGGGGCCTGGGGCCTGGGCTTCACCGCTCCTCCTCAGGAGGAGGGTTTGGAGTAGCGGCTACACCTAGGAGCCCCCTTCTAACTTCTTTTGTTCAACACGAGGCGTTCCCTTCGGGCCTCCACGCCCTGGTCTGCCAGGTGGGAGCACAGCGACGCCGCCCCCCTCGCCGCCTTCGACGGGGTGAGAGCAGAGACCTCCCATCGTGCTCGTCGGTGACCGTGGTGGGACTTGTCTTTCTGTTCCAGGTTCCGAGGTGCACCCATCATACCCGTGGCGGCCAGGCCTGGGGGACCGGACGCCCCCGAAACGGAAGCTCCACAGGGCATCCCAGAGCTCATTGAGGTACCGCCAGCTTGATCTGCGTCGGGGGCTCCTGCTCACTCCGGGGGGGCCCGGCGAGGGGGCTCTCCACACTGACCCCTCGGTGCCGCCTCCCTCGCCTTCCTCACGGAGTTCAGTCAGAGCAGAACTGTAGGCGTCCAGTCGGCAGCCCCGGCTCTGCAGAGCTCTCCACGTCCTCATGAGCCTCCTCTTTCCTTTCCCCGTCAAACTCGTCCACGAGGCAGCTCCCGCCAGACTGGGGCTCTGGAGCTGCGTCACCCACTCCAGCGCGTAGGGTTGTGCCAGCCCCTCCAGTGGGCCCCTCCCAGGCGGGTCCAGCGTGGCTTCCATCCTCGTCCCTTCCGCCAGGCTTGGGGATCACGGACAGAGGGGTAGCCCAGCCATTGGGAGGGCCCGGGGCACCCAGCGGGCAGGGTGAGAGTGGAGTCCCTCTGCTGAGCCCCCGGGCAGCTCAGAGGCTGCGGGGGTGAGGTGTCTTGACCCTGGCCTGGCCCTGGACGGCGCATTAGAGCACTGGCCTCACCACATCTCTGTGACCTTCCACGCTAGACCTGCTCTCTCTGGCCTCGGTTCCCTCACTTATAAAGTCAGGGAGATGGTACCACCACTTGGCGTGTGGAGTTCGTGGTCACACGTGTCACATTGCTGGAATGGTGCCATATCAGAGCTTACTCTGACGGTGAGGTTAGTTATCACGTACCAGGCACCACCCTGAGTTCTTTTCGTGTGTGATTATTAACATCCATGACTACATGATTGTTAACAAGACTTGAGAGCTTCAAGGTATTTATCCGCATTTTGCCAAGAAAGAGCCTGAGACTCAGAGATGTTAAGTGACTTGCCCGGTGTCTCACAGTAAGCATGAGGTGGAGCTGGGATTCAGATCCAGGTTGATTGTGTTGGGGTCCACCTGCCCTGGGTCCGCAGAGCCAGGGTCAGGTGTGACCACGTGCACGGCTGCTGTTTCTGTGATTACACGGTGCTGACCTTGCTGACTTAGCAAAACAAACAATTTCTGGGTGAAGCGTTTGTTACTTTTTCATCAGCTCCAGAGAGCACTGGTCTAGGAACCTGGGACGGTTGTTTCTGTTAAAGCAAAATCCACAAAAATGCCGGCTGCTGACGTCGCTCGTATGTCCCTTTGAGCAGCCTCTGCGCACACCTCAGGCCAGGCCTGCCTTGCGACCCTAGCCTTTTTCCACAAGAAGAGTTATCACGAGACTAAGAGTGTGGGACATTCACTACCAAATACTTTTCTGACAGTCTCTTCCCTAACGAAATCAGAAGGAAGCAAGAGGCCTGACGTGGTCTTGATTTCCATTTGTTTCTTGGTAATCGGCTCCGACAGCACCACGGAGCACAAGGGCAGTGGGCTGGCTGAGGCGGAAGCATGCGAGAGAGTGTGCAGAACAGGAAAAGCAGACCCACTGCGGAGGGCCAGTCCCTCTGTCCCCGCTGGGGCTTGGGGAAGGGGCCTTCACCGCTGCCCTGCCAGACAGAGGCTACTGCCCTGGGGATGTCCTTCAGCTTCCCTTCAGGCACCCCCATGCAGCTGCTGGAGCTGCTTGGGGTGCTCACGGCCTGGCGGGGGCGTGGACAAACAGACGATCCCAACTGCATGTTACCTGGCGACACGGCCAGCGCAAGAGCCTTTCTAGAGGCAGCATCACCGGGGGGAGGGGGAGGCCACACTGGCTGGCGAGCTGCCGGGGCCGGCCGGTAGCCGATGCCCGGTGTGAGCGGGCACGTGAGGCTGGGGGGCGATGTGCCCACGGGGGCCCTCGGGGGGCTGCCTCCGCGGCTGTGTGCGGGCCTGGAGCCCAGCCCGTCGAGGCGCCGCTGTGGGAACCCCAGTGGGAGAGGGTAGACGAGCGTCCTCCTCGGGCCCTTTCCCTCTGCACTGAGGGGGGGGGCGGGGCCCTGGCAGAGGCTCGGCGTGCAGCCGGAGGTGGTCCGCTCTGAGCTCCTGGGCCAGCTTGCCCGAGCCCTGGTCGCACCCCCTGCTCTTCCCTGCGCTGCCCCATCCAGCTCCTCTCCCGACAGGGTGTGGCACCAGCATCTCTTTTCCAGCTCCTGGCGTCCCAGATTTCCATCCCAAGGAGAGACCCCTCGGGACCGTTCCTCATGTCTGTGGACCACTGTTTCTCCATCAAAGGCCAAGGCACTGTGATGACGGGCACCATCCTCTCAGGCTCCGTCAGCCTCGGTGACAGCGTGGAGATCCCTACCCTCAAGGTCAGTCTTGCCTTGCCCTTCCTTCTGGCCCCTCCCTCTGGCGGGAAGGGAGGGGGACAGTGCCTGTGCCTCTCCAGCTGCGGGGCCTGCTCCCCCTTCTCTGCTGTCCTGCCCCCGTGCTGGAACGACCACTCGCCCCGATTCTCGGAACAGCACCAGGTCGTTGGGAGGCTCTCAAGCAGGCATTCTTTATGAGGAAATGGAGCCTCCAGAGGGTGTGTGGGCTCAGGAGCATGTGGCCCATGAGCGAGGGCGCTGGGTGGAACCTCTGCCCCTTTCTGCAAACCCCCCAGGTCAGGGTGGCAAGTACGTGTGGACTCATTTCTGGGTCCCTTTTGCTTAACCACAAGGATTTCAAATTAAACACAATTAGAACCTTGTGTTGCTCAGAGCCGTACAGTCTGGACACCACCCAGATGAGTGTCACATTCCTAGTGACACTGGCAGCTGCCACGTCATCTGCGGAAGACCTGTGAGTAGGGTGGCAGCTGGGGTCTCCCCGTCAGCCCCGACTCCTGGTAGCTTCTGGCCTGGCTCTGATTTAAAAGGTGTCCAGTGGCCTTGATACTTGCCTTCGGTGGGCTTTGCTTAAGGTTTTTGTTTACTGGAAAAGAAAAACTTAAGCTCCCTCACCGCCCTTCTCCTTCAAGGGGAATCCAGGGTGGGGAACAAGGGCTGGTTAGAACTCGGAAAGCTCCCAGGAATTCTGGCGTCCAGGGAAGGTCTCTGGTCCTCAGAGGAGGCTACAGTGCAGGGGAGTGGAGGCTTGCTCTCGGCCTGTGTCCGAGGCCAGGGACGGTGCCGGCCACTGGAGGTGCTCACAGCCCAGGTGCGTGGAGTCCGGGCGCCTGTGAGGAGACGGGCTGTGTGGTTGTCTGGCTCCCTGGGTGTATTAGTCACCGACCTCCAGAGAAACAGAACCGACAGGGTGTGTGTGTGTGTGTGTGTGCGTGTGTGCGTGTGTGTGTGCACAAAGAGAGCGATTTTAAGGAGCTGGCTGGTATGATCGTGAGGCCAGCGGGCTGGAGACCCAGGGCTGAGTCGCGATTCAAAGCTGAAGGCTGTTGGCTGCAGAATTTCCTCTTCCGGGAGGACAGTCTTTTCCTGTGTAGGCCTTGTCCACCGTCATTATGGAGCGTCATCTGCTGTGCTCCAGGTCTACTCAGCTAAATGTTAACCTCACCCAGAAAGCACCTTCACAGAGATTGGAATAATGCCTCTAGGCAAATACCTGGGCCGTGGGGCCCAGCCTGTGGACGCGTGAAATTCACTGTCACCCTGCGGGGAGGTCCGTGCCTGCAGGGCCTGCCCTGAGCGAGGGGGAGGCCGGAGCACTGCTGACGCTGTGCCTGGCGCGGGCCGCTTCCGGGCAGGGCAGCCTGAGGCGGGAGAGGGGCATCTCAGGAGTGAGAGGAGTGATCAGTGCCTCCGCAGGTGACGGAAGCGTCAGCTTGAGGTCTCTCCCCTCCACCCATTCCTCCTGCAGAGCTGGGGGTCGTAGGGAAGAGTCTCGTGACCAGGGCGGGCCAAGCTGAGGGCTCCCTGGGGCGGCAGCAGGAGTTGGAGGGCGAGGGTCCCCTGACACTGTGAGGCGTGATCCCCTCGTCCACTGGCTGTCGTGGAGCTTCGCGTGGAGACCGTCAGCCCTGGATAGAAAGACTGCTCAGCTCAAATCCATGTTGCACCAAGTACTAAAAGCGCAAATCTTAGAAAATAAAGCACAGAATTATGAAAACAAACTAGACTTCCATGTAACAAGACTAAGCTTATACTAGTGACTGTGTTTTAATACCCAGCTGGGGCAGACCGCTCGGGGCCCCCTGGCCCTGGTCCCCCCTCTGCCCTGGGCGAGCAGCTGGGAGGGGGTGGGGAGCAGAAGAGGGCAGACTTGGGTGCTTGAGGCTCTGGAGGGAAGGAGAGGCGTCTGATGACCGAGTCAGTCAGTGGCCGTGGCGCTGGGGCCCAGGGCCCGGAGGAGGCGGAGGCAGGGCCAGTGGCCACCTTAAGCTCTCAGGGGTGCGAGTGGGGGCTTCTGAGAGCTCTGGCTACTGTTTTCATACTTATAGAGATGAACTTGTCTCTCAGAGTCCCAGGTACTGACCTGCGGTACTGGGGCACATGGAGGTTGCTTGGCAAATATAAAGTTCATTCTCCTCTTGCTTTTGGGCGCCTGTTTCCCCCCAGCCTACTTTCCCACCCTCTTGTTATCTGTTCTGTGCAAGCCTCTAATTTACTAGTCGGGTGAAGCAGAACTTGTAGCAATGAACTTGGATTTGGCTCAGGGGTTCTCTAAGCAAAGTGTGGAAGGTGCAGCCTGGTGTCTCCTTTGCTGCTCATAGTAAAATGTGAGAGGAGACGAGTGGATGGAGGAAGGAGCTGTGATTAGCAAGCGGGGAACCAGCTCCTGATGGCGTGGGAACTTCTTGGCTCGTGTAGATCCCAAAGGATGCTGAAAACAGGAGATCCACTTTTGAGAGCGCGTGCCCTGGAGAAAGGCCACGGGTGAGGCTGGACAGCCTTTGCTGAAGAGTTTGGGTGTGTGTCTCACGGGTGCAATCAAATATCTAGCAGAAGCCAGGAAAGAGCTGGGCTTCTCCAGGAAGGGTCTGTGGAGGACCCTCTTGTTGAATGGCATAGATCCCCTTCACATACATGAGAGACCCACAGGTTTTTGAGGCTGTTAATATCATCAGAAACACTGCCAACCAGGATGTAAAGGGACAGAGACCCGGCAAAATTAAAAAAAAAAAAGCGATTGGACTTCTGGGATTGTACATGCAGGAAGTAACAGGTAGAAGGACTCAGCCACAACGTATGTTATCCTTCAAGAAAAAGGAGGAATGGCTCCAAGGGCAGAGCTCTGGACATAAAGGCAGAGGCCAGAGAGGCGAGCCCAGAGGCCAGGGCCAGTGGAGCTTCCATGGGCCCGGAGGGCAAAGGATCAAGCCACAGAGGGTCATTCGCAGGCCCGGACACCCAATGGAATTTGTTTTGCTGGGTTTCAAACTTGCTTGGGACCAGTGACCTCTGAGTTCCTTCCATTTTCTCCCTATCCCTGTATTTTAAAAACAGATAACTTGTTTTCCAGTGTTACAGGTCCACAGATGGAGAGGCATCTTGCCCCAGGATAGATCATTCCAGATCACTCATGCCTACTTAGGTGACTTAGCTGATGGTACTTCTGAGCTGATGATACTTCTGAGCTGATGAGGTTTAGATGAGATTTTGGACCTAATTAGAGTTAATGCTGTAATGGGGTGAGAATCTGGGATATTGGGATGGGGTGAAAGTATTTTGCACGTGAGATGGATGTGACGTTTTGGGGACCAGAGGGTGGACTGTAGTGGGTTGAATCGTGCCCCACAAAAGATGTGTCCACCCAGAACCTCAGAATATGACCTTATTTGGAATGAGAGTCTTTGCAGATGTAATTAAGGTAAGGATCTTTAGATGAGACCATCCTGAGCAGGGTGGGCTCTTTATCCAATTATAAGTCCAGTGACACAGAGGCTCCTGGGGAGGAGGGCATATGAAGCTAGAGGCTGGGACTGGGGTTCTGCAGCCTGGAGCTAAGCCATGTCCATGGTTGCCCGCACGGCCTGAAGCTAGGAGAGGGGATGGAAGGCGTTCTTTTAGAGACTCTAGAGGGGGTCAACCCAGCTGACACATCGGCTTTGGACTTGTGGCCTCCAAAACCGCTAGAGGTTACACTTCTGTTGTTTGAAGCTGTCAAGTTTGTGGTGACATGTTGTGGTGGCCCCAGGAAACGAACAGAGATTTTGGAAGAAAGGACTGAAGTCAGGAAGAGCTTCCAGTCCCCTGTAATCTTGGGCAGGTCCCTTAACGCCTCTGAGCTCTGACTTTCTTATGAGGAATCGCAGCCCCGGCTCACCCTCGGGGGTTGTCGTGCGGGTGACGTTGGCTTTCAGCGCTTTGCGGGTGGGTCCGTCGCTTACTGACGGCCAGCTCTGCTCTTCCTTTCTTCCCCATGACCCCATCTGACCGGGGAGAAGACCTAGACAGTGGAGCCCGCATTTGAAGCCATTTGGCCAGCACCAGAGACCGGCTCTGGGCATCATGCCCACTGCCCCGGGAGCCCCCACGGAGTCCCCCCGGGCTCTCCACTCACCGTAATGTGCCCGGGGCCTGTCGGACACGGGGGCACTGCAGGGCAGGCTCCAAACTGGCCAGCTCGCCCCCAAGGCCAGTGACATCCCAGGCAGGTTTCACTAATCTACTTGGGCACATCTGACCGCTTGAATTCCCCCAGGGGCTCAGTGCGGCCCCTCCAAATAAATAGTTGTGTCCCCTCCCGGCCAGGCCGCCCGCCGGAGCCTGTGCGACCCTGGCCCTGTCTCTGCTGCCACGTCCGTCCAGCTGGGGCCCATTAGCTGAGGGGGGGGAATGTTGGGGCCCAGGGAGTGAAGGAGAAAAACCAAACCCCACTGAGACCCAGACTGCTTTAAAGGCAGACATCCTGCGACTCGCCAGCCTTCTCCTCAGGCTCTTTGGCTCCTTCCATCCTCAGCAGGGGGAACCCGTCGGTAAGATCTGATCTGGGCATTCTAGGCTAGTGATGTTTCCGGCAGTGATTGGCTATCAGGGTTGTAATGTCAGGAACTGTCGGAGACGCAGATGGTGCAGAAGGAGAGGCAGGGACCCAGGACCAGCCACAGGCAGGCTCCCCTCTCCTGCGCTTCACTGGCCATCACGGCTCAGACCCCGAGAGCCCCCTCTGTCCCCACCTCTGGCAGAGGGCGGTGTGGGGCGCTGCCCACTAGGGGTGATGGCCGTAGAGTGCCCAGCACCTGGGAGGACACTTTGTCGTTCAGTAATACTGTCACATGGAACTCCTGTTGTGGGTTCCACAAGTAGTAAATGGTGGGGTCCTCTCCCGGTTGTAAGGAAACGGGTCTTTGCGGGGCTACTAAATGGGTAACTGAAGTGGAACCCACGTCGGTTCTTGATAGTGAGGGGCATCATCAGGGGTGTGTGGGTAC